TTGGCTGCGCTCCCAGGGCGTTTGGCGCATCGTTTCCGGTCAATCCAAGGCCCCCACAGTCTCGTCGCCTCCCAAGGACGGAGAAGAGACTGCACTCGATGCCTGGTACCTCAAATCGGACAAGGCAGCTGGCTACATCTATCTGGCAGTGGATGAGAACCAGAAGATCCACTTTGCGACGATTTCGGACGATCCAGTGAAGATGTGGGCTGCCCTGGCTACAGTACACCTTCAGAAACGTCCTGGTGCACGCTTCAATGCCTATGACGACCTCTTTTCGATTAGGAAGCAGGAAGAGGAGACTCTGCAGTCTCTTATGAACAGGGTGGACACAGCTATCAACCGCATTCAGGACCTTCAGCCTAAGGACTTCACCCTCTCCAGTCTAGATGATGAGCTGGCCAGCATGACACTCATGAGGGCGCTTCCAGACGAGTTCAGCGCGTTCGCTTCGTCTCTCCTGCTCTTGGACAAGCTGGAGAAGTCCACAATTCATCAGGCTGTCATTACAGAGGAGTCCCAACGTCGCCATCGCGCCTCTGTCACTCCCAACGTCTCCTCTGCCCTTGCTGCATCGTCCTCGTCCTCTACAGCCTCCTCCACGCCCGAATGCACGTTCTGTAACGTTAAATGGCACATCGAACAGAATTGCAAGAAGTACCTCAAGCTCAAGGAAGATGCACGCGAAGATGTCCGTCTCAACCACTCCAAACCCAAGGGGCAGAAAGTGAAACAAGCGGAGCAGCAAACAGCGCCAGAGTTCGCTGGAAATGCAAGTGCACTGTCAACTTTCGATCCTACCACTCTCCAGAGCGACGCTGACTTCCATTGGCTCGCAGACACAGGCGCCACTAGTCACATGACACCGCATCGCGCCTGGATGCGCAATTACACGCCCCACATCGTCCCAATCAAGCTAGCAGACCACACCATCATCTACTCAGCTGGCATGGGGAGTGTAGTGATTCATCCGGTCATAAAGGGTCAGGAAGCGCGTCCTGTAGAGCTTACTCGTGTACTGCATGTTCCCCAACTCCGAAACAATCTATTGGCATGTTTATACCTCACTAAACGCAAAGGGATCCGCTTGGAAGTGGATGACAGCACCATGTTCTTCAAACGCGACGGAATGATGCTCTTTACAGCTACTGTCAACTCCCAGAACTGCGGTATCTGGACGCTTCAACTGAGCCAGTTTCAGAGTATGTGAACGTGGCCTCAACTCTTCCAATGGACATCACACTTTGGCATCGTCGTTGCGCGCACCACAGCCATGCTACAATCAGGAAATTGATACAGGGCGATCTCGTCACTGGTCTTGTCGTCTCGTAGAAACATAAACCCGACCCGATTTGCGAGGCATGCTTGGCAGGCAAAATGACCTCTGCACCATTTCCCAGCTCAACTAGACAATCCCTTGCACCGCTTGAACTCATCCACTCTGACCTTCATGGACCTCTTTCTGTCCCCAGTCCGCAAGGATATCGCTACTGGATCACTTTCCTGGATGACCGCACCAAGCTGCATGCTGTACACTTCCTAAAACGCAAAAGCGATGCATTTGATGCGTTTAAGACGTTCAAAGCCTATGCAGAGAACCAGGTGAATGCGAAAATCAAGGCTCTGCAGGATGACAAGGGTGGAGAGTACATGTCCAACGCATTCCTCAAATTCACTGATCAGTGCGGTATTACACGACGCCACAGCACCAGGAATCGCCCCCAGCAGAACGGAGTCGCAGAGCGTGCTAATCGCACCATTTCTGACCATGCTACAGCCATGCTCAACGAATCCAACCTCCCTGCTTCGTTCTGGGCCTATGCGGTCGCTGCCTATGTCCATGTCTGGAATCGCCTCCCTACGTCACCTCTGCCTGGTACAACGCCCTACACTGCTTGGTTCAACAAGAAACCGGACATTAGCCATTTCCGAGTCTTTGGGTGCACTGCCTACGTCTATATACAGTGAGACAAGCGCACATCACACATGCAGAAGTGCATATTTGTTGGGTATCGATCTGGCTACAAGAGTTGGCAGTTCTACAATCCGGTCACTAGGAAGTTTATCATCTCAGAACGAGCTATCTTCAATGAAAGGAGCTTTCCAGGCCTCCAGCGCACGTCTCCAGTTGACCTGACGCCTGTTGGCACTCCTGCGACCTTCCCAGACGTACCGGATTCCGGGGGGATGACAACTTCGGTCCTGAGCCCGAAATCGCGCCAATCGAACCAGATGCATTACCACAGCCTCTCCCTGCACCCAACGACGTTCCAGCGGATATTCCGCCACCAGACGAGCAAGCTCCACCCAAACTCGAACAGCTTGCTCCTGACATTCCACTACATGCTCCTGAACGCGTTTCGTCACATCCTGCACCCGCTCCAGCGCCAGCTCACGCTCCTCGCGCTCCGCATCCACCTAGAGGCACAGCTGAGCCAGCTCGACGCTCTACTCGCATCCCAAAGCCTCCTAGAGAATGGTGGAAGCTCACTCCGGCTCCTGCTGCTCCTGCGAACGAGAACGACGCTGGCCCTGCTCTAGACAATGACATGGACGAAATTCAATTTGCTGGAGCAGCCTCGACGTCGGATCCACACAACTACAAGCAGGCGCTGAAGAGCGATGATTCGGAACGTTGGAAAGAAGCCACACTTGCAGAGTACAACACCCTCATTCAAAATGGCACTTGGGAGATTGTGGATCTCCCACCAGGTGAAAAGGCCATTGGCTCTAGCTGGGTCTTTCGCATTAAAACCCATTCTGACGGCTCTATCGAACGCTACAAGGCTCGCATCGTCGCCCAGAAGTGCACGCGCCGACGCCTCGTCCTGCGACGATACGGATGATGTTTGCCATTGCTGCTGCGGAGGACCTGGAATTGTGCTCTGTCAACGTTTCAGCCGCTTTTACCAATGGAGACCTTGAGGAATACATCTACATGAGACAGCCTGAAGGATTCCATGAAGGCGGTCCCAACAAGGTCTGTAGGCTCCGGAAATTGCTCTATGGCCTCAAGCAGTCAGCTAGACAGTGGAACATCAAGCTGCACACTGCCCTCACTCACATGGGCTTCAAGCGAGTTGAAGCAGACCGGTCTGTCTACATCTATTCTGATGGCCTTGTACGCATTTTCGTCCCCATTTACATCGATGATATCACCTTCGCTTGCAAGGACGCTGCTGCGATTGACAGGGCGGTTGAGCAGCTAGCTGGACACTTCAAATGCCGCAATCTCGGACCCATGGAGTTCCTGCATGGTGTAGGCATCACTAGAGACCGTAAATCGCGCACTATTGCACTCCACCAACGCCAATTCATCCTGGACATCCTAGAGCGCTACAACATGACCAACTGCAGCCCTGTTTCGACTCCGATGATTCCTGGCTGCGTTCTAACGAAGGAAATGGGCGCATCCACTCCAGATGACCTCGAATTCATGCGCACTGTTCCCTACCTCAGCTGCATCGGTTCCCTCCAGTATCTCGCAGTGACATTGCTCAAGTCGTCGCCTACCTAGCACGTTTCAACAGCAATCCAGGTCCGAAACACTGGGCAGCAGTCAAACACCTATTGCGCTATCTCAAGGGAACGCTAGAGCACAAGCTGCACTACTCAGGCAAGCTGGGTCCGGACATGTTCAACACCTACTGCGACGCATCTCATGGTGATTGCAAAGACACCGGACGCTCTACAGGTGGTTGGTTATGTGACTCTCATGGCTGGTGGTGCAATTGGCTGGAGCAGCAAACTGCAGGGAATCGTCGCTCTCTCCACTACTGAAGCAGAGTTCATTGCAGCTGTTGAAGCAGGCAAGGAGATCGCTTGGATGCGCAACATTCTGCGCGAATTTGGCTACATCATTCCCCAGCCTTCCACTCTCCACATTGACAACCAATCTGCTATCAGTGTCTCCAAGAATCCTGAGCACCATGGACGCATGAAGCACCTTGATCTGCGCTTCTACTGGCTTCGAGATGCTGTTAACAACAAAATCATCCTTCCTTCCTATATCCCTACTGCTGATCATGTTGCAGACATTCTCACCAAGGCTCTACCAGCTACCAAAGTCCAATTCTGCAGAGAGCAGATGGGCATTTATCCTTAGAGTATCTTTCTTTCTTTCTTTCTCTTTCTTTCTGAGACTGTTCAGATCATGGGGGGATGTTAGAGTTGCCTGTTTCAGTCTCAGCTGATGTGGTCACATGTTATCACATGACACACATGTATGTAGCTGTAGAACGACGTCTGGACTCCTTAGTTACTCACTTCGGACTCCAGGCAAGTAGACAGCTCTGTTCCTCCTCAATACACTTCAGTTACTCACTTCGGACTCCAGGCTCTCATAGCCGCTCTGTCTGATACACTGAGACGGCGAAACTCACCCAGCAGGTGTCTCGTACCGTCCCGAACTCGCCACCTTTCACACCTTGTCCAATTTGAGGTACCAGGCGTCGAGTGCAGTCTCTTCTCCGTCCTTGGGAGGCGACGAGACTGTGGGGGCCCTGGATTGACCGGAAACGATGCGCCAGACGCCCTGGGAGTGTAGCCAAGCTTGCATTTCACCACAGCGGCGGTGAGAGAGGATGCATGGGGGTGTGCGACGAACGTTCTGACGCGATGACGTGGCAGTAGGAGCAACGGTGCGTCGAGTACGAGCGAAACGAGCAAGAGTGTGGAAATGGAAAGTTGAGACTGTTGTTGGAAAACGAGTTTAAAACGCTGTGTGCGCGGGGCCCATAACCTGTGTAAGGTGGCGAGTTCGGGACGGTACGAGACACCTGCTGGGTGAGTTTCGCCGTCTCAGTGTATCAGACAGAGCGGCTATGAGAGCCTGGAGTCCGAAGTGAGTAACTGAAGTGTATTGAGGAGGAACAGAGCTATCTACTTGCCTGGAGTCCGAAGTCAGTAACTAAGGACTCCAGAAGGCATTCTACAGCTATATACATGTGTGTCATTTGATTACATGTGACTACATCAGCTGAGACTGAACTAGGCAACTCTAACACAGACCTGGGTTTGAACCAAGGACCTTCCCAATCTAGGGGGATGCTCTAACCACTGAGCTATCCGGTCTTGGTGTATAGAGTTGAATGGTTACTATTGAACCATCCAAGTTATAGACGTGATTGACCCTCATGCCTTTGGCACTCGCCTGCCAGCCTATGGCCTGCATGGTATGGGACGAATCAGAGGACCTCCAACTATCATATGATGTGGCAGGAACACCATTTGACAGCTTCGACTCCCATGATTCCTGGCTGCATTCTAACAAAGGAAATGGGCGCATCCACTCCAGATGACATCGAACTCATGCGCACTGTTCCCTACCTCAGCTGCATCGGTTCCCTCCAGTATCTCGCCTCTATGACCCGCTGATAGGCCGCGGTTTCGGCTATACATGAAACCCGCAATATTTTGCCTTTTTATCAGTAGAAATACCAGTCAGCTGGCGGAGGAGTTTAAGTCGTCCTGGACTGAGAACTCATTAGTGGCACATAAATTCAATAAAGAGATTAAAGACAGTTGTCTGTGACAATGGTAGTGGATGATGTTACAGTAAATTGTAACTCAACTGCAAGCCGGGAGACAGTTTAACAAAAACAGCTATCCATTTGATACTCAAATACTACCTATGCGCGCGCTTAAACCACTACACGGGACAAGCATTAAAAACGGAACAGACATTCCCTAGTGATCCGAAGCACAGCATCATGCACAGAACACAGCTCCCCGAGCCGGGATTATAGCTAAAAGCTCTAAAAATAGACTGTGCATCTATATTCAGCTGCTAAAGATAGAATGCAGATAGCTGTTAAAGCGTGAATAAGCGCAAAGGCGTCTAGCAAAGCTGCGAGTCAGGTGCAGCAAAGAAATCAATAAGCAGAGAGACAGAGATGACAAAGAATAATGGTCTGGTGACCTAAAAACCAGGGTATTTCACATGGAAAAGAGAACATGGGCAGAGGGCATAGAGTGGCGAGGAATGCAGCTAAGGCCTGGGCCTATACCACTGAGCAATTGCTACCCAAAAGGATAGGAATCAGAATCTAAGAATGCTGGACTGTTTGTGAACCGTTTGTATGTATTAATGTTGGGGCCCGGGACCATACACTTGTAGTAGTATAAATTACCAGTATGTAGTGTAGTTAAGGACAAGCAATCAGTACCCATTTTATTTGAACTATAAACGTTCGAGCACTAAGGGATAAAAATACGGATTTGTTTCAGCGCCGAGTGCTATAACTCATCGAGACTATCACAGCTTGAGGTCGGACTGAACGCAGTTCCAGGCTAGTGATCCGCGGCCGCGTATATTGAGAGAGTGTTGCAAAGATTTAAATAGCGACGAGCTATTGTCACATTTTTCGAGACACCAGGACTCATAGTACACAGTACTACGGCGATTGTAGCCAAGTGGAAGTCCACCTAGCGAACGAGAGCATTGACGAGATTGATTAGCAAGTTACCAGAGCATTTACCGAGCAATAAAACAACAATTCCAACACCATAAAAACAATGTTTACCTTTCCTGAGCCAGAATCAACAAAGTTACGGGATACTCAGCGATTGATCCTAAAAATAACTCCTTCCCTAAAAATATCGAACGAGCAAGGCAACTTACTGTCAAAAGTAGGACCTCAGAAAAAGAAAATCATACCCAGAGCAACACACACACAATTTATAAAAAGATCAAATAACTATGAAAGGGCGTCGCTCGACCTGAAGTTTAGGATCTCACTCTGCTTTTTGTGTTTTTCTGATTCAAGGTCTTGCCTGATAGCAAGCCTCTCATCTGGAGCCCACCGCGAAGGGGGGGATTTTATAATCAATCAAAGAGTTGATCTATACTTTCGAACGGAACAGCCTATTACTTTAAAAACAATTTTACAAACAACAAAGATTCAGCTTCATTCTCGTTAGCGATAGCGAGCGGTGATAAAGCCAGAATCTGTTAGAATCTACGTACTTCGCAGACTGTATGTAAATAGATACAAATAGTTAGCATTAGTTTACTGATGTTGTATCTAGTTCTTTGTCTCGAATACATACACTCATTCCCTCGCACGCCCGAGCCCAGGCGCCATGTGCCCTCGTCCACACCAGACGAGGCCCGTTCATCGATCCGTTTGGACGACACCCGCGCGTGCGCGTCTCGTTAGACGCTGCGCCCCCTCGATCATCCCGGGTTCATCCGCGGTGCCGCTTCCTTAAGCGTCCGCGTTCCCTTCTTCTCTCTCGCACTGCTGCAACCGGCTCTCATCTCATGCAACGGCGACGAGCCGATTCTAATAGAATCTATAGAGACTAGTAGCAACGGCTCCTAAAGCAAAGGAAGACCCTACCTATCAGTTTAGACCACAAGTGGGCAAACCTCGTACAACAGTACCGGCAAAGCCTAAAACAACTAGAACAACCAGAAATTCAGGAGATGCGGGGCTTACACCACCGTACGAGAAGCCAGTTCAGAAAAGAGTTACTCGTAGAAGCAATACGTTAGCTACCAGCGAATCCAAAGGATCATCGCTAAGCATCGGAACTAGCAGCCAACGGTCAATGACACCCATACGGGAAGAAAGTCAGAGTCGGGGCCCACTCACTGAAGATATCACTGAAAGTGCTATTTCAGAATACCGGGACACTTTAGAAGGAACACCAACTTCTATTGGATCCAGTCAATTTCAAGAAAGTGATACTTTTAGCGGCATTGTGAAAAGCGAGGAAGAAGATTTATTTTTTGCTTTCGCTCAACCCCAATCGCTACCAGATACAGACCAAACCCCCGCAAAAGTTAAAACAATGTCTAAAGCAGAAATGCCGACGAAGAGGTCCAAGGAGGCACCAGAGTTCGATGAAAAAGAGCCAGAAGGTTTACCTCGATTCTTTGAAGACCTGGAGGTACTCTTTAAAAGATTTGGAGTAGATGAAGTGGACAAGAAAGGATACGTAGGGCGATATGTAAAGCCCAAGGTAGAAGAAGGATGGAAGACGTTAGATGGGTATCGCAGGAGTTACCAGGATTTTAAGAAAAGTATCCTGGATGATTATCCTAAAGTGATAGCCATGAGTCGGGGCTCTATTACTAAGCTAGAGCAGATATGCAAAGAATACCAAAGGCTTAGCGAACTTGATTTGCAGGAGATCCTTCAATTCAAAAGATGTTTCAGGGCAGAAGCATCCAAGTTAATGAGGGAACCAGCCCTGTTAGCTAACCACACGTTGGTTGAGAAATTCTCCAAGGCATTGATCCCTGAATTCCGAGATCGAGTATTCAGCCAGCTGGACTCAAACAGAAGGAATGATGAGCAGTTTCGAATGAACGTGAAGAAACTGGTGTTAGATCCAGGTAATCTTCTGAAAGACCCTACGCATAATAGGCCAGAGGATAAGTTCACCCTCAATGAAGTCATAAGGATGACAGAACAATTAGCTCGTGGTCAAAACCCAGGACAATCTTCGATTCTAGATGTTCCGGTAGCTACGGCCAGGACAACAGAAACACCAGTCCGAGTCAAAACAGAGAATATAGAGTTTACTCTAATGGAGGAGATTCGTAGCCAAATGGCAAATATGCGAGATGCGCAAGATGTGAGCCAAAAAGAGATGCAGGACATATGCCGGGTTGTGCAACAGACACAGTTGCAAGACCAGCAGCTAGCACAGATGGCGGCAGTGTCGTCGGCTCCACAGCAGCTAGAGGGCCCAGGGCTTTCAAGTTATCAACAGCAACCTCAGTATAGGCCAAGCTATAACAGCAATCGCTTTCAAGAGTCAAACATGCAGTCTGGATGGAAATGCTTCTACTGTGGAAAGCTAGGGCATCAAATTAAGGATTGTCAATCCAAGGAAGCTCATTTAAAAATGGGTTACATTGAGAAACGGGAAGGAGATCACCGACACTATATAACAGGTGGTGGGGTCCTCAGATTTGACGAGGACAAATTACCTATTGAGAGAGTAGAAGAGTTTCATGTGAAACAAAAGTTAGCTTCAAACTTTTATGCCAAACCTCAAAGAGGAGTTCTACAGTTGGCACATGTTCTAGACCAGGCAAAACCCAGTTCATTATATACCAATAAACCAAGGGATCGCAGGGACAGACTATTAGAAAAGTTGGAGCAGCAGCTAGAGCAGATTCGTATGCAGCCACCTCAGGAAGAAGACGAGGAAGAACCAGACGAACTTGAGACGTACAGTCGCCAGTACCACGAGGTAGCGAACAGGGTACGACAAGAACGAATGGAGATGGAAACGGAGTTCTCTGATGAAGATTCGGGTTTCTACAACGTCCAATGAAGGAGACTAAAGTGCTAGCTCAGACCGCAAGGAAGAGTGCTTTTAAAAGACCGGAGGACGTTAATAACAGTAAAATCACGAAAATGAAGACAAGAAGTCAAGGCCAACACAAAGGTGCAGACGAAGGAGAGAACAGTGATAGCGATGATGAAGAACCGCAGTTTACGCTGCCAGTAAAACCCAAGAAAAAGAAAATGGAAACTCCATATATCACGAGGGAAGCACCAAAGAAAGTAGAATTTGAGGAGATACCATTGGACCTGGAAAGAAGCAGGCGAAATGGAATGATACCCTACGTAGATGTCCCCAGAATGGACCCTGCGCTGAAAGCTAGGATAGCGCCGCGAACCGAGCCTATCCCGATCCTAGAAAAGAGAGAGCCGGCGTACATGCATAAAGCGCCAGTGGAGATGGATGTCGACATCCCAGCCATCTTTAATAGGATGAAAGAAACACCGATCACTCTAACTCAACGAGAGTTTTTGGGTGTTATCAGTCCAAGATGGAGGAAACAGTATACAGACGAGTTAGCTATGAAATGTATACCCACCATTCCTGGTAGCGAGCAGAAGGTCTCCATGATAGAAGAATTGGAAGGATGCAAAAATATAGATGGAGAGCCCTATGAGATATATCATCTTGGAAAAATAGAAACTCCCATATTCAGGAGGTCTAGTGAACAAGATAAGGGTGTACCAGAAGGTTCTTTCATTATTGAAGATCCCGTTGAGCAATATCTCAACACCCTGGACCCTTTTCAAAGAGCAAAGAAGGTGTTG